TTGCTCTGTCAACACCACCCTTACTGCATCTCCTCTCCATTCCACCTCCTATGCTATGGCCATTTGCTCAATCATCCTTCTGTAGCTCTGCCTATGACATACACTCTGGTTGCCAAGTACTGCCTCTGCTATGTCTCACGTGATTAGTTTTCCTTTGCTGATGATCGTAGGCGGGCTGCTTCTCGTTCTTCAAAGGGCTGTACACTGACAGGAGAATGAGGCAAAGTGCATCTAGTGTTTGTGTTGTGAAACCCAGCTTGCTATCTGTGCAGCATAAAGAAGCAAATGTACTTCAGAAGAGTCAGGATCTGGTTTGACAGCTTGGTTTTTAGTGAATGAAATCATCTGGAAGTGACAAAAATATAAGCTCTGAGTAGTGAGCAGATGTTATGATTTAAGGAAAACAAGGAATGTTTGTAGGTAAATACCCTTGCTGTCTTGGTAGTACATTTTATTCTTACTTACAATCTCATTTTCACAGTCAAAGCCATTATCTGCTGTTTTTGTTTAACTAGTAAAAATTTGTGGTGAAGGTTCTCCAAAAGTGTCAGATAAATGTAAGTGGACACTTGACAATTATTGCAAAAATGTGTTATTAATGGTGATAGTATGCTATTTGATGGAGTGAGAAGCAGACTTTGCATTTCTGAAAACTGAAATAAAATCCACACTACATGTGTATGTGTCTGTATCTATGTTTGTGTATTATATATATATATATATATATATATATATATATATATATATATATATATATATATATATATATATATATATATATATATATATATATATATATATTATCATACATACACACACACACACACACACACACACACACACACACACACACACACACACACACACATACATATATTTTCTATATTTATGCACAGAGAGGGAGAGAGAGGGAGGACGGGGAGGGGTGATGGAGGGGGAGTATGTAGAGTATTGAACATTCATGTATTATTTTTATATTGAAGTATAGAAAGAAAGAAAAAATGCCTGTCCTGTTTACTACTCACCTCTCATTCTCTGTTTTCTTGTGACATATTTATTTTAAAAATTTAGTATTGATATGTCATTGTTATTATTAATTTGTTTAATGATTTTTGATTTAATTATGGCGTTGTGTGTGTGTGTGTGTGTGTGTGTGTGTGTGCGTGTGCATGTGTGTGTGTGTGCGTGTGCGTGTGCGTGCGTGCGTGCGTGCGTGCGTGCGTGCGTGCGCACACACACACACACGTGTATTTTTAAAAGTTTACATTTGAAGATCATTTATTTTTCAATATATATCCCATCAGAATCAAGGTTTTAGGTACTCCATGATAACCAGGGTTTTGAAAAGTGAGCCACATTCTTGCAACACCTTTTGAGTCACAAACTTTTGCAAAAATTGTGCCTTAGATGTGTTACTTCATTTTTGGGAATGGGGAAAAGGGGTTGGAAAGAGCTAGACCTTAGCTGTGTAGTGGATGATTCAGCTACCTTTGTGAGTTCATGATGAAGCAAATAGGCAGAACAGTGCGTAATCATGGAGTCGTCTTAGTCCTCTTTCTGCTGTGGCATTGCATACTGTATATTTCTTCACCACCTGTTTATAATGATGGTTACATGGTATCTTTTGTGGTAATGTGTCTTTCCCTTTGCCTATTATTCTTAGTTGGCCTTCTTGGTACCTTGTGAATCCTGTGGTCACATTTTTGTTAGCTCATACCCAGAAGGTATAAAGTATCTCATAATGTGTAGAGAATATTGTATTCTGCACCTCTTCGTAATCTACAACAATCACGTCTTTTGAGTCTAAAAAACTGGTGATCTATCCTTTGAATTGTATATTGGTCTTTTCTTTCATGATCAAATTAAGGAATCTGTTTCATCGCTTGGTACTAGTCTTTTAAAATTATGTCCTTTTCAGAGTCAAGATTTGTGTTGACAAATTGGCTCTATTGATGTTAGACTCACTTGAGATTTCTTTGTTTGATAGCTATGATGTATTAAAGTTAGTGTCAAAGGTGCGTGAAAATGAATTCGGTATGGACATGAAGTTTTATGATCATACATACTTCATTTGATGGCTGTATAAAGTATTTTTTGTCTTATTGTGATTTTCTGTGAACAATTTGAAAGACCCCTCATGTATATGTATATTGTATGGTTAACTTATTAATTTAGGTTCAACTGTTTGCTATAAAAACAGTTATTGTATTTTATTCTGAGTACATTCAATGCTACTGGCTTGCCTCTCACTCTGTTCATTCTAATACAGCTTTTATTGCCTTGGGTTCCTGCCATTCAGTAGCCAGATCTTCCACGAGGGGATAGGTACTGTTAGTCTCTTAAGATTGACTTCTGATTTCTCTCATATTCATTAAAGAATTCTCAAAAGCATTTGTAATATGATTTCTTTTTTGTAGTCAGTTATGATTAAACTATTGCTTTCTTTTCCAGATAATTAAAACTGGAGACACCGAATTAAGGTAAGTTTGCCATGAAATGA